TGCATATCATGTTCCTTTACGTGATATACATTCCTCCCAGGTGGTTGAATAGGACACCAATATGTCTTGGCACAATCATGTTACTGGAATTGCAAAGGCTGCTTCTCAAAATCTTGAAAGACTGTTCCGAACCAGAAAACTGTACAAACCCCAGCAAATTTTGATGCTTTATAAACCTCAGATTAAACCTTCTTTAGAGTATTGTTCACATATATGGCATATCCTGAAGCTGGTGGATCCATCCAGAAAAGAGCCATTCACCTGATTAGCGATACGAACATCACTTGCAACCCTGATAATCTGGAACATGAAGGAAAAGTTGGAAATGTATCTCTCTTTTATAGATACTTTCACGGAAGGGGTTCAAGTGACTTGGCACATTTGATTCCACCAAGAACGGTACCTATCAGAAGTAGGCGACGGCTGCTCATCGTTTTGAGGTTCAACTCAGTACACATCGAACTCTACTGTTTAGGAACTGTTTCATTTGGAGAACTGCCTTTATATGGAACGTTTTCACAAATGAATTTAATCTCCAGCGATTAAAATCCAACGTGAATCGCTACTTTCGCACAGGCTTCGCTCTTAGAGCACCTTAAAGATTTTCCTGTAGTACTTGTATTTTGTCCTTGAAAAAATACTTGTCAATAACTCACATTACAAGCCTATCATAATAATAGAAGATTTTAAGACTTCGCATTTTGGTTCTATTGAAATTGATTCTAAATATGAATTAACAAAAAATGTTATTGGAATGTTTGTCGTGAAGCGATATAATACTATTTCAAACCAGAGTAATCGCTTACTAGATTTATTTCTCATTAGCATAGAATGCCACCTACATAGGAATCTTCAACTACATGAAAACGTTCATCATTCATCTTTATCGTCCAGTCTCCCAATCATTATTCACAAACAGGGCAACTTTCATTTCAATTAACAAAATCAGTCTATATTCAACCCCAGACAAATTTTCCTCTGATGTATGAATTAGTAACAGCCGTCCACTGGAGAGGGATACTTCAATGCTCGCACTTTAACAATGCTTGCGATGAAATTGAAATTTTGACACGAATTCTTCAAATATCCATTTCTCCTAAAATCATTAATAATATAATCGTCGGTACCCGGTTAGTACAGTGGTGAAATTATAAAAACTATACGTAAGAAGGAACGGGCATTGAAAAGCTATAAATACTTCATTACACACTTTTATTTCGATAAGTTTTGCACATCAAGAAAAGAAATAAAAAACACTGTCAAGAATGATCGCGAAACATTTGCTAATGAGGCTGAAAAAATATTTCTCAAGATCCCTTCTAATTCTGGAATTATTAGAAATAAAAAAGGTAACTCTAGGATACCTGGTGAAATGAAAGATGAAGATGAAAAGACATCTTATTCAAACCTGCAGGATATTGCTGATACTTTCAGTTCTTACTCTGCTTCTGTATCAATCGATCAAATACCGAACTCTGTAACAAACTTGAAGTCAAATATAGCAATGTATCTTTTATCGGCCTAACAGAAATCTCCGAGGATATTATCAAAAATAAACTGATTGTAGAACCTGATTAGATTCTTAGCTTTTAGATAAAGGATTGCATTTCTGTTTTACTGCAACCTTTGAAACATATATTTCACCTCATTCTAACAAGCAGATAATTGGAAGATAGCTTGCTGAAAAAAAGGCGATACGGGAATTGTACAGATTTATCGAGGAATCTTAATATTATGCAATTTCTGTCGACTATTTGAAGTTATCTTATATTTTATTTATGATTCAACAAAAAACATAATATCTGAGGAACAACATGGTTTTTAGATAGGAAATCTTGTTTAACAAACCTTTTATGTCTACCCCAGTATGTTTGCGAAGTATTTGAAGAAAGAGGTCAGGTGAATGTGATATACTTGGATATTGAACAAGCGTTTAATCGAATTGGCATGTTTATTCTTATTAAGAAGTTATGTGCTATTTGTTTCTCTGAAAAATTAGTTGAATGGAGATGTTTGATCGCAAGCAGTATGTTAATTAGGAAGAATATGTTCCTTCCAACATCAGATCTACATCTGAAGTTCCTCAAGGATCAATCTTAAGACCTTTGTTATTTCTCCTTTCAATAAATGATCTCATAATGTGAATAGACTGTTTCGAACTTATACATGCCGATAGTCGTGACATTTCTCATGAAGTATAAATATCAATATTATTATAACTATTATTTTTTAATATAAGTTTGGGAATGTCAGACCCTATCCTCCAAAGCAGTGTTTTTCAACCTTTTCCATGACACGACCCCCCTAGTAAAAAAAAATATTATGCGACCCTCCGACTCTTTTTTCATGTATGTTATTATTTTATGGTAAAAATATTCAGGAAGTGACACGCGTAATTGTCAGCCGTTCAGTTGTTTAGCGAGCGCAAATCATTGTTTTCCGTTTTTCACGTATTTAGTTGAAGTGATTTGTAATGATTGAAAATGGATAAATTCCAGAAAAGACCAAAAGAACCGTCAACTTCTAGCGGAAGTGATGGATCAAAAAAAATCGTCCTAATGATGACAATTATTTGAAATTCGGGTATACTGTGCATTATTTGCTTTGAAACTTTGTCAAGAGAAAGCATGAAGCCATCGAAGTTAGCACGCCACCCAAACACAAAACATTCAAATGAAAAAGAACCTGTGGAATTTTTTGAGAAAAAATTAAAAGCTCTTCAACATCAAAAAACTACTATAGTACAAATGTCTAATTCAAATGAAAAAGCGATGCTTGCTAGTTATCGAGTAGCTTTTCGTGTGGCTAAAACAGGAAAACCCACACAATTGTCGAAAGTTTGATTTTACCGGCGGCTTTAGATATAGCAGAACTTATGTTTGGCAAACAAGAAAAAAAAAAGCTTAAAAGTATACCTCTCCCAGACAATATCATTCAACGCAGAATAAGCGATATGGCGACATACGTTGGAGACAAAGTCATAGAAAAAATTAAAGAAAGTACTTTTGTGTCCTTGCAATTTGATGAATCTACGAATATTGCGGGTTGTGCGAAGTTTGTCGTTTTTGTGCATTCTGAATCCAATGAAAAATTGATGGAAGAGATATTATTTTGCAGAGCACTTCCCTCAAACACTACAGTCAGTGCTTGCATAACATGTTCCTTATTCCATACCCAAGATATGAATATCGCTTGGGAAGAAAAATGCATTGCTATTTGTAGTGATGGAGCGAAAGCTATGACTGGTGCAAAAAGTGGATTTATTGCTAGAATGAAAGAACAAATGCCAAACGCTTCTTGGATGCATTGCTCCATTGCTCCATCGCCATGCTCTTGCGGCCAAAACCTTGCCACAGGAATACAGCCAAGTTCTAAATATTATTAAAAAAAATTGTGAATTCAATTAAAGGAAAAGCGTTGCAGATACGATTGTTTCAGATTATTTGTGAAGACATGGGGGCACTCCACCAAAATTTACTTTACCATACAGAGGTTAGGTGGTTGTAGTATTGACCATCAGAGTTATGGAACTCCAAGCTGAACTCTCAATATATTTACAGCAGATCAAGTCGGAATACTCTGAATTTATTTGTGACCCGGATTTTCTTTTGAAATCAGCTTTTCTTTCAGAAGTATTTGACCATTTAAATATCTTGAATGGAAGTCTTCAAGGGCAAGATGGAAATGTCATCACTGCAAAAGACAAAATACATGGTTTTACAAAGAAAATTGAAATTGAAGAAGTCGGATGTGAGATAAACATCAAGGAGTATATCTGTGCAAGAGATATCGAAAAACATTAAGCAAAGGTAGATCTTGAATCCATTTTCAACTGCAGCTATAAATGAAGCATATTCAACAACTAAGCTCAAGGAAAATCTGAAAATATATTTAGAATTCAAGTCTGCCAATTTGGATAGCTTTTGGTTAAAAGGAAAAACATAATACCTGGAATTAACAACTGAGGCCTTGAAGTGTTTGATTCAATTTGACACCTCGTATTTGTGTGAGTTGATATTTTCATCAATGGCCCAAATAAAAAGCAAGCAAAAAAATCGCTTAAATTTAGAAAATGACTTAACCCCCCAGGGGGTCGCGACCAACACGTTGAAAAACGGTGCTCCAAAGCCTCGGAACATTCAGGAGGGACTGCCAGCATTATCGACCAACACAACTTTCTACACCATGGGATAAGTGATCAGTGGGCCTTGAACGCAGTGAGCCAAAAATGACAGTCTTCTCCATTCGGACAGTCGCCCGGCTAAGATTTCTGCCTTAATACGGTCAGCCGGTGAGAGTAGAGGGGACATCATTCCATCAAGAACTACAATAATTAGAACCACCGTCTTGACAGAGTGGTCTAGATAAAGTCTGTGGAGTTCGAAGAGAAACAATATTCGTCTCGCTTCCAACTACGAGCTGCACATCCTTATTATTACATCCAATTACATCCATTATTATTATTATTACTATTATTATTTTTACGAAGATTTCCGCTGGTCAGGCCCCATCCCTAAAGCCATACATTCAGATTTCGCTCCAGCATTATCAGTCAACGACCACTCCCCACACCGTGGGGTAAATAATCTGAGAATCATGTGCCCTGAACACGCGCAATATTATTATTTTTATGACAGTACGGTATGATACAATTTGATCAGAAGTTGCTGATAGGGAGTACAGGTCACAGAAATGTTTTCACCACGTGATCAATTCAGATTTTGACGCTCCTCTAAGTAATCGAAAGTGCACTTAAGTATTCACACTGGCAACTTATTAAAGCCAACGACTCTCATACATTAATTCTAATGTCAAAAGTGTTGGATGCAATTGTTTTCTACTATATATCTCATTCTATATACATCTAGAATCAAATATAAAGGATTATTATTTGTGACAGATGAACGTTAGGGTTGCAAATGCTAGGATTTTTTTTTTCAGTCAGGATCCAATAAATTCAAAGGAATAAACAAGATTCAATAATGCAAAAATTTTTACAGATTGGATTGATGAGAAGTGGCAAACTACTGGCAGAAGAATCCCCTCACGTCCTACTCTCGATGTATGGATGCACTTCTTTGGAAGAGGTATTCCTGAAATTGTCCAGAAAACAAGTGCAAGTCGGCGCCTCTCAAGTGGAACAAAACATGTCAAATAACATCAGTTTAGCCACTATGAACTGGGGAAAGAAGGACTCGATTTCTGTGACCGAAGAAAGTGGAGTGGTGGGGTTGAATTTTCATCAAAGTAAAGAAGTTTTGGTTACGGATACTAACGGACATCTAGATGTAAGTAAAAGTATAACATTGATTTTTATTCAGTGGTGTTTTTGATTCACTGGTAATGAGTCAATTATAAATTCCTTTCATGAATATTACAAACTATTATAGTGGTTTTCGCAAATTAATCTAATAATTATCCCAATGAAAAAATATAACGGATTCAAATTGATGACTATAGCATACATCTGTGCTACTTTCATTAATAAGTCAACACAAAACACTAGGCGTGTATATGAGAAAAACTGATTTCTTTATATCTGCCTATCACAGTGGAAGATAATTATTCGAGAGAAATTTTAATCATCCGGTATCCATCAGTGAGATAGACGTAATAACTGCGTAACTAAAACATGGAGTGTGAAAATTACCGATACTTGAACATCACTGTCCTCAATAAACTGAAATAAACCTAGATAAATCTCAGGGTCGAATTGAATTTTTCGCATAGCTGTGCCAAATCCCTTTTGATTATCATTACACAGAGATAAACACACGTATAAACCCTAATTTCCGTATATTGTGGATATTGTAATAATTTTTCAACAATAAAAAGTAAATGACTGAACCATAAAATCATTCAGTTATCATGCTGTCAATCAGCAGAATCGTAGAAATATTTTTCTACCAAGGTACGAAAAAATAAAATTAAACTTTTCATTATATTTGAACACTAGAAAATAAATTTCGTAGGAAAATCTCGAAATATTCACCTTTCCCAACTACCTACACTATATGTTCTGGTAAATGCCTGCCAGAAAACAACTACTACCCGGGCTAATACCACGCTGGATATTGAATTATATCCGACAGACATTTATGCAAGAGGTTAGTCTACTACGTATTATCTCTTCTCGATACAGTCTTTAGACGTGGTTTGATATCTGTTAAAGTATTGGTACATGGGATGTACACATGGATGTACACATGGGATTTTTCACGAGATGGAGCTGTTACTAGTTAACAATATTTCTCTTGAACGAAAATTTCATACATGCACTTGAGCCGCGTTGAAATTAATCGAGTCCAGGCACTTTGCTGTCTGGGTTGGATCTTTCCTCGAAACCGATCTGTAGGTAATCTACTCGAATAATTTCAACGTGGTCCTGCTGCTAGATGAACGAGAAACATCTGCGAAACTAACCTCTATGAGGTTTCTTGCATAAATATCTGTCGAATATAATTCAACATCCATCGCGGTATTAGCAAGGAAATCAAGTTGTTTTTCGACAAGCATTAACCAGAACCTACGGTTTAGGTAGTTGGGAGAGATGAATATTCGGAAATATTCATTTTCTAGTACGCATGTACTAAAACCAACGAAGCGAAGAGAAGGAAGAGGGGATAAGTGAAAGCACTCGACCTAAAAATAGTCAGATCTCGGAGAAATAAGTCCAGTTATCACCCGAAGACGATTGTGGATGCTAACAATCGAAACGTCGTGACATAACTTGGTTTGGAATCTTTTAATTTTTAATTTTCATTTGTTGTTGATAACATTTTTTTAATTTTTTTAATTTTCAGCTTGTATGTTATTTCTTTGTAATTTCAGTTTTTTGTTCAATAAAATTGTTATTTTTCGGTTAATCTTTTAAATTTCTTACAGATTATTTCAGGGGTTTCAAATCAATTTATATTATATTAGACAATGGAAGTCCGAACTGATGGAATACACCACGAAACATTGTCAACCACCTTCAAATGTTTCGTTTATTGTTCCTGTCGGCAATCAACTCGACGTTTTCTTCAATTTGAAGTAATTCTCTAATTCACACTCGAAGTTATCTTGGCAAATCATCATTTGCAGCACGTAAATATTCCTCTACAAGGAAAACGATCAGCGTCGTAGAGAGTGAACTTTTCATCAACGTTCCCTTCATATAGAACTTGACTACATTTGGCAAATAATAAAAAATAAACATAGTGTCTATAGTGATGTTTTTTCATAGATAGAAACAAACATTCTTATTACAATTTCCTCAGACTCATTTGAAACGCAATATAGACCTTCCGGTTGCTGCCCAACATAAACGTCCATGGCCTCGATGTTGATCATTCGCATTTTCCATGGCAAATATTTTTCTCCCATATTTGCTTGCTTTGGAAGGGAACCTGCAACGTCCTCTAAAAGCATCCAACTTCTCATCGATAGTAACGTATTCCGAGAGGAAATATGATTTTTTACAATTTTCATTGAATATTTCGAATAATTCTCTATTTGGAGACAGTTCATCAGTTTCTAATCTGCCGCTCTTGGGTCTTCGTTATCAAATCTAATGTACTTCAATAAAAATTTAAATCTGTTCATTGCCATCATCGACCTGAAAAGTTCAAAGAGGGCCGCTTTTATCACATATAAGAGCAAAAATTTCAGATGCATTGGTCGACTTCACATCTCTCTCTCTCTCTCTCTCTTTCGAGAATATTGGTGAGCTTTAGGAGTCATAAACGTATTTGTATATCCAACAACTTTAGACATCGCTGAATAAATGTTTCCAGCATTCCAGATGACTTCTTTTTCCTTTTGAAATACCAGGAAAGTGGGATACCATATTGTGAAATCTTGTTGTAATATTTTTGTTGAATTGCAGTACTTTCCACTTCATATTCTCTTTAGCTTAAGCTGACTTGCCAAGTTAACATGATTTTCTTTCGTAGGTTTTTCACTACTGTGTCGTTTCCATTAGATACATCCTGTGAAGAAAGGAGAATTGAAACTTTTGAGTTTTTTACCACATATATTTGAACCTAACGTTACTGCAGTTTCGTCCTATAAGGACATTTTCAAACTTCTACATTAAACTCCTGTTATCGTCGACCTGCTATTCATATGACGCTATTTCATCTATTAGAAAAATAACCTCATCATTCCTGAACTATATCGAATTATAAACACCGAAACCTCACCAAAACCAACAAAATCTTTATTACTTATACAAGCACTGGTACCCGCAGTGTATCTGACAGATCTAACTAACGTCTAGCCCTAAGGGCCGGTTTATCAATCGCCAGCTAACCTCATTTGACTAATGGTTTTGTCTTAGCTCCTAGTCAAACTGTTTTTCGTTATCATGTTACCATCAACTGGTAGCTGAAGTCTCATCTATTTGGAGACAGTTCATCAGTTTCTAATCTGCCGCTCTTGGGTCTTCGTTATCAAATCTAATGTACTTCAATAAAAATTTAAATCTGTTCATAGCCATCATCGACCTGAAAAGTTCAAAGAGGGCCGCTTTTATCACATATAAGAGCAAAAATTTCAGATGCATTGGTCGACTACACATCTCTCTCTCTCTCTCTCCCTCTTTCGAGAATATTGGTGAGCTTTAGGAGTCATAAACGTATTTGTATATTCAGCAACTTTAGACATCACTGTATAAATGTTTCCAGCATTCCAGATGACTTCTTTTTCCTTTTGAAATACCAGGAAAGGGGATACCATTTTGTGAAATCTTGTTCTAATATTTTTGTTGAATTGCAGTAATTTTCCACTTCATATTCTCTTTAGCTTAAGCTGCCTTGCCAAGTTAACATGATTTTCTTCCGTAGAATTTTCATTACTAGTGTCGTTTCCATTAGATAAATCCTGTGACAGAAGGAGAATTGAAACTTTTCAGTTTTTTACCACATTTATTTGAACCTAACGTTACTGCAGTTTCGTCCTATAAGGACATTTTCAAACTTATACATTAAACTCCTGTTATCGTCGACCTGCTATTCATATGACGCTATTTCATCTATTAGAAAAATAACCCCATCATTCCTGAACTATATCGAATTATAAACACCGAAACCTCACCAAAGCCAACAAAATCTTTATTACTTATACAAGCACTGGTACCCGCAGTGTACCTGACAGATCTAACTAACGTCTAGCCCTAAGACTAGAAATGCTAATACTGTGTTTATTTGTCACCGGTACTTCGACCAATAACAGGAAGCTACCGAGTATACACGAGAAGAGTATTGTGGTGATCTCTCTGATCAGGAGCGGGTACCGAAGGGTTAATTCTAATAATAATAGATATGTAACGTTTATGTAAACTGAATATCCAGCACTAATTTAGATTTGTGACAGTATCACTGATGAGCTCCATGTCTAGTTCTTTCAATATGGTCTATAAACTAGCATTGAACATAGTGTTTTTAACTCTGTCGATTACTCAAAACCATCTCAGATGAAAACACTCACAGAACCCCGAAAATTATTCCACTTCTCTGGCTACAAGAAGATTTGCCAATGCATTGGATTTCCATTAGCAATTTTGAGGATCTTGTTTATCAAAACATCTGATTTTTGTCTCTCTCCTATCGGATGGATTGAAGTGGAAGAGCAAAATGCTTATGATTGGCGTCAGGATTCAAACGAAGCTAAAAAGTGCCAAATTTATCTCAGCCAGCTATGATTCAATGAACCCGATAAAGTTTCTCTTTACCATTGAAGACGATATATGTTAATTTTTTGTCTGCTTACGTTCTCAGAGGAATGATGACACCCCTATTCACCTCTGAGGATCAGAGGCAATTATTGCCGGAAAGTAAAATGAATGTAGTGGACTTAGCTATATTTTCAAAATGTATAGCAAATCATCAGTGAATTAGATAGCTTATCCTGTGTTTTTTCAGATGAACTATTCAGTTTTTATTTGAAAGCAATCATTTATATCATTTCAGATGGGAAAAGCGTCATCATCCACTCTAGGTATCCAAGAAGCATGTGACGACTGTGGCAACTGCACAGAATGGACGACCGTAGGAAAACTCAAAGCTCTGCTACAGAAAAACTTTCTACGAATGTGGCGAAATGTAGGGGTGATGTTATTTATTTTTGCGCTACCCGTTATGCAGGTCATCCTCTTCTGTTTGGCTATAGGAGGTGATCCTAAAAACCTGTATTTAGCTATAGTCAATCACGAAATGATTTACGAAAACCTGACATTCCAAGCATGTAATTTCGACCTGGGCTGTAAATTTGGAAATCTGAGTTGTAGATACCTCAATACCCTCAATACGTCGACTATAGTGAAGCAGTATTATCCAGATCCGGAGTCGGCTAAAATGGCTGTTGAAACTGGAAACGCTTGGGGAGCCTTGTACTTCACTGAGAATTATACTGATGCCTTGGTAGCACGTATGGCTTTGGGAAAAGATGCTGATGCGGAAACTTTGGATCAGAGTGAAATCAGAGTCTGGCTGGATATGTCAAGTGAGTATCTTATGACCATGGCTACACTGCCGTTAAACAATAACTATTGAGCAGGATTATTTATTAATCAGATATTTCCACACCGAAAACTTTAGCACTCATCTCTCCACATTGGAGACTTTCATATTCAATATTTTCATGCTGCTACCGTTTCACACCAGCATATCAAACTATCAGACCAGTAACGTATTACCTCAAGCAATAATTGAACAAATGGCGTGAGGTATCGGAAAAGTACTTTTTTGAACTTTTTCGTAATCCAGTAGGATGAAATCAGTCTAATTCTGACGCTAACCAAATTATTATTACTCACATTGAAACACTTCTGCAGGCAATGGAGCTGTTCCCTTGAAGTAAAATATAGCAAGGTTGATAAGGAATTTGAGGTCGGAAATCATGTTTTTGGAATATTTCACACAAATTGATAATGAAGGATTCTTGCTTCAATGTTATGCTTCATGAATCATGCTATTTTTGAATGGTAGGTGGCGTCTTCAAATCTTCTCCATCATTGTTTGATCAAATTTTCACCATTCAAGGCTACAGACACAAGAAGTCGTTTCCACCAGTGCATTGTTCGACAACCACCGCGACAAACCAGAAACATAACAGGCAGCACAGAGACCTACAACCAGATCTGAGTTCGAAGATCGTCGTGACTGACTTTGAAATAATTTAAAGAATAACATTACAGAGAGACTTTCCAAACTCGGATAGACGAATTATTTTCTGCAACAAAGTCGATGAAATTATTTCAATACTTTGAGCAAACCTGGATCGAAACAACTATTCGTCGCAGAAATGTAGAAATTGTTTGCTATCTTTCTCTGAAATTTCTTCTAATCTGTATTGCAAGATCTTTTAAAAGCAAATAACCCTTGTGATGTTCATCCAACTATAATACAAACTCATGAATGGATTCAAAGATCAGCCAGCAGGCTCTGATAGAGATGACGATCCAACAGATTGCGAAACGCTTGAGAAACACCTAGAGAAAATAGCTGGCATAGATTTTTTACGAAGAATCTCATATTATATTTTACTCAATTTTTTTAAATATGTGAACCGTGGTCCTGGTCCTTTATGTAGGTGACCCCGTCCATACGATTCTCTTGTGGAAATATTTGGGTGTGAAAGTCCCTGTTGTGAATGGATGTGCTCGAGAAGAATCTGATTTTGAAATATGAACCAATAGATGGTTGTGTGAAAGTTGGTGTTGAAATACCTCTTGCCATCATTTTTCCTATAGTAGGAAATTAAATAATATAAAGTTACTTTGTAAAGTTGATTTACCGAAATCATAATCTAAATATTATATTTGTCCTTGTGATATATTGTTTGAAACCTTCAGTGTAGTAATAAATATTACTGGAGTTTTTTCCTGACACCAAACCGTTATTTTAACACCTCGACACGTGTTTCAATCACCAAATGATCATCTTCAAGAGGAAGATTGATCTTCCTCGTGGAGATGATCACTTGGTGGAAGATTAATCTTCCTCTTGAAGATGATCCCTTGATGATTAACACATGTGTCGAGGTGTTAAAAATAATGGTTTTCAATACCTCGACAAGTGTTACAATCACCAAGTGATCATCTTCAAGAGGAAAACTAATCTTCCTTGGTGGTTGAAACACGTGTCGAGGTGTTGAAAATAATGGTTTGGTGTTGAAATATAACTCCAGTAATATTCATTATATTTGTCCTGTAGCAGGTGATTCCCATCACAAATGAGTCTTTACAAGTAAATCCTAAAATGTCCCTGTATTTATTCGGAAATGGTAAAGTAATCTACCTCCAAAACTTCCTATTCACATTAAATACGAGAATTGAAAAAATGATCATGTAAATTTTTTATATTTCAGATCAACAAATTGGTATAATACTTCAAAGAGATCTTCATCTGGCCTTCCAAAACTTCACGAAAGACATATTCAGGGATTGTGATTACAACGCAGATCTTGCCGAAATTCCTATTTCATTTAAAGAACCTATTTACGGATCTAATGAACCATCTTTCACCGACTTCGTAGCACCTGGAGTAATATTAACGTGAGTTTCAAGTGTAGCTCTTATCAAACTTTTGAATCGATTTCGTCATTAGAGAATATCCATGATTTTTTTAAATATGCTTTCTTCGATTGAAGTGTTTTGTGAGGAGAAATTTTTTTTCTAAGAATATACTACTCATACTATTATTATTATCATTATCATTCTTTATCGTTTTCAAGATACGCGAGAACACTGAAAAATGTAAAAAATATGATAACAGTAAAAATGGTTACCATACTCACGGTTATCTGCCCCCTATCAATACAAATACAAAAATTCAGACCGTTACCACCGCCAGTCAAACAATATAATGACATGAACATTCTAGATTATACTTCATTAAAATTCATACCAGTAACCCTTGGATGCTTTATTTTTCCGTTGGACTTGTAACATTTCTTTCATGATTCTGGAAATATTGCAATTCCGTGTGGTTATTGCCTTCTCTTCCTTTTCTTTATGACAACCTTTCCAGCATTCTTTTGCTCTGTAACAATTTCTACAGATTTCTACAATTTTTCTACAGATATTTCTTCTGATTTCAGTATTTCTTCAATTATCCTTTAATTAATAATTATTATCTATCTCTTTTGAATTCGTACCTCAAATTCACATAAAGGCATTTCTTGCTCTGTTCCTTTCTAGGACTGTTCTGTCACGAAGGTTTTTTAATTTTTTTCATTTACCCATTTTCTGATATTGTTACAACGATTCGTATATCCCCATAGCTAGTTCGAGGCTAAATAACGACTTGATGAACCTGTCCTTAACTTTTCATTTCCCATGATTCCAGAGTGTATGAGCACTCGGTATAAAGTCGATCTATTCCTGTCTTTCAGTATTCACTTCTTCATAATCATCGTCCGGGTAGTTTGGATGTAAGCTTACAAGCAGAGAAGCATACCTTGCACGAATATTTATATCTTATCAGTATTTCAAGTCACCAATGTCCTTGTAATTGCCGTATCAATATAGAGAGGGTACCCGGCAATGGTTTTATATCTATCAAAATCTTTCGACTAATAACATCGGGATTATATGGTAGCGTAACAGAGGATTCAGTTTTTGAATCAGCCTTGTTTATTTTTCACAAAAATCGTTTTTTTGATATGATTTTTTTTTCCAATTCCATAGCATGATATTATCCTACTTGGGCGTCCTAGTTTTCGCCATCGATCACCCTTAACGAGAGCTATTTATGCAATTGAGTTGACCTCATTCAGCTGTTACTGTATCAGTATCCAAAAAATCCAAAAAGCTATGCTTTGTTGAAGTGAAATAGGATACGATGATAATCTCACAATAAAGTGCATGAAACTTATTGAAATAATAGGAATAATTTACAAAAATAATATTGTGAGCAAGTACCTGAATATGATATTAAATTTAAACTGAAATTCTGAAACCATATCTGTTTTTAGGATCGTTTTCTTTTTGGCTGTGGCACTGACATCGTCAGCATTGATCATAGAGAGAATGGAAGGATTACTCGATAGATCGTGGGTTGCAGGTAAGTTGCAACACTACAATTCCTCGTTTTCATTAAAATTCCATGTAATTGGATTGAAAGCAATTTTATTAGAATCGATTAATGAGTTTAACAAATTTTAGCTTTTCATTCGTTACACGTGCTTATGTATCAAACTTCATGCCGAATGATCAACACAAAATATTGGCTAAGGCTGTTCCCATAAGTAGATAAATGATAATTCATCCGCAGGTGAAAAATTAATTAGGTAAACCAATCTATTGATGGATGCAGCCGTTACTACGTGAAAGGAGATCATCATGAAAAATGAGAAATAAACCTTTCTATATTTTTTTTTCTAGTTTGTCCCATTTGCTCACTATTACACTTCGTACACTTAAGCTTATAAACTCCAGATTTCTCCATCTTGTCTACTTTATTTTTGACATTGAAGACAAAATTAGATAATCTGGCATGTTTTCTGACTGCCACTTCCACATTGTTTTTTCTGAAAAACCCGCAATTGTCTATGTTCTTTCAGCAAAACATGTTGCTTTCTGGTTGTTTGATCTCGAGATATGTAGGCTGTTATTGAGATTATTCATAAATGTCATAATAGAAATATACAGTTCACACTTGAAACGGAGATAGAGAAACAGATACATTTCTTAGACCTGACCATTACATATAATCAGAATGAATTCGAGTTCAATGTATATAGGAAACCGAGCTATACAGACATTACAATCCCAAGTGATTCTTTACATCTAGACAGTCATAACAGCCTTCAATTCAATGTTGCACAGAGCATTCTCGCCACTTTTATCTGCTTACAATCTACATACGGAAAGTGAAATAATTATACACAGAACATAATGATGGTTCCAACGCAGACACAGTCAGAAGTTAGTCAGAAAACAAAGGATCAAATTTACTTACAGATTAATATATCTCCAGATCATACAACCAGAAATCAAGAAATTCTAACATATTTTGGTAGAAGAACATAGACAATTGCGGGTTTTTTCAGAAAAAAATATGTGGAAGTGGCGTTAACGCTACATGCCAGATGGAGAAATCTAGAGTTTATACGCTCAAGTGACTGGGGTGTTTATGTGGGACACATTTCTCAAAACGGTATGCTGAACATGAAATGTCCTTAAAACTAGGTGAAAATGATTCGGCGTTTTCAGCCTATTCCTTGGAATGCAACCACAGGGTCTCGAATCTAAACGACACGGAAATTTTGCACTATGCAAGCAACACTAAAATGAGAATGAATATTTAATCTTCCTCTTTAAAGATGATCACTTGGTGATCGAAACACGTGTCGAGGTGTTAAAAATAACGATTTGGTGTTGTAAAAAACTCCAGTAATATTCATTACTACACCAAAGGTTCCAAACAGTGCATCATAAGTACTAAAATGAAAGTCGGTGAATCATGAATACGTTTGATGGAACAGGCCCGTTGAAGTGTAATTGGCACTGGCAACATAACCTTTCAATAAATTGATGGATGTAGCTGTTATTAGAGGATAGGAGGTTATCATGAAAAAAGAGAAATGAAACTTTCTATGATTTTCTAGAGTTGTCATTTCTCATGATAACCTTTTAAAATTATTTGTCCAATCACATTAAAATTAATTGATAACTTTTTTCCAGGTGTGACTCCCGGAGAAATTCTGTTTTCCCATGTGATCACCCAGTTCGTCGTCATGTGTGGCCAAACAGCGCTTGTACTAATCTTCATGATATTAGTATTCGAAGTAGAATGTAAAGGCAACCTTATTCTTGTTATTCTCATAACTATTCTCCAAGGGCTGTGTGGTATGTGCTTCGGGTTCGTCATATCGGCAATTTGCGAATTGGAGAGAAACGCAATTCAGTTGGCCTTGGGTAGTTTCTACCCAACCCTGCTGCTGAGCGGCGTAATCTGGCCAATAGAAGGCATGCCTACAGGTCTGAGGTACATTTCGACATTCTTACCTCTCACCTTAGCGACAACATCGCTAAGATCCATGATGACCAGAGGATGGTCCCTGTGGGAGCCAGACGTGTATTACGGTTTCATTGCAACCATCGTTTGGATACTTATTTTCTTGACGATAAGTTTAGTAGTTTTAAAAGTGAAACGGGGTTGAATTATGGTTTTAATAGAAAAAAGGACTATTCTTTTGGGGTGAACTGGAAAATTCATCCCCAATAAATTTTCATTTCTAACAAGTTTATTTTTATATTTGGCATATGGTAGAAAACGTAGATCAAACATCCATTTTAGTGCAATGTAAACCTTCCTGGTTATAGTCAAAACTTGCCCTAAAATTAAATATCTATATTTCTAGTGATAAGAAAAATTAATTTGTGTCTTTTAATCGGGTTATGTGAATTTTTTCACAAACTATATGAAAAATTCCGAGGATTATTAAAACAGATATTTTCGTTGAAAAAAAAGTAAAGTTTCAGTGTCATGGAATGTACATGATTACTTACAGAACACATTAAAGTACTTGATTCAACTGTCATCGAATTAATATCCGAAATAAGGAAAATAAGGAAATAAAAAAATATTCTTCAACGAAATTTCGTAAATATGAGAAAAGTAAAATATATTAATTGATTTTAATAGTGCTCAAACTTTAATTTAGTAATGTTATCAACTGGTATTGTGATGTATGTTTGTTATATAGTAAAAATAAAAAATTCGAATTAAAATGTGGTTTCAATATTTTTCTTGCTTTTGAAATCGTAAAAAGAACCAACCAAAATCAATCTCACATTGAATATTTACCGAATCATTTTCTGATTCATGTTTGCTCCTAATACAGCTTCATGTTAAACTGGTGGACACTGATCGCTGCCATGCAGTGAGAAGTGTCTTGAATAAAATGTATTGTTTGTATGATGAATAATATCAATAGAAATAGTCTTACCTTACTGTAATTTTGAAGAGGTAATTATTTTATGCATGAAAGAATAATGCATGTAACAAAAAAATTGTACGCTTTCAATGCTTTTACGCTTTTTATGATTTTGTAATCTTTATTATTTTGTGCTGTTATGATCATGATAATTTTGCTTGGTAGAACTATAATACAAAAAAAATGATGACTCAACGGTTAGTTGTAATCAACAATTGCAAAATATGATTTTATATATTCCACTTTTGAATCAATATTCATGAATACCTCAAAAAGTTGAAGTTTATTCTGATGATCATGATTATGATGATGATTTTCAAAAATGTTAATCAAATCACCACTACGTGCCCTCTATGTGGAGCCAAGCACAGAAAAGATCTCTTCAAAATTTCATTCTTCACACATTGAATCGGTATCGATTCAAAGTTCAGGCAATGCTACCACCTGCTACATCCGTCCCTTCAACACAGGGAACCCACCGATTCCAAGAATGACATTACTAAAAACAGATATCTCTGTCTGTACCTCACTTCTCACTCTACTTCAATCACTATGAAAAACAACTCCTCTATGACTGAACAAAAGAAGAAGATTACTTGTTGACGTCAATTCATATATCTTACTCTGACATGAATGAAAATGATACAAATACACAATATGGGACAAATCCCAGATCTGCGAATATAGGAATTTTCAAATGATTGGTGAAATATATTTGTTCGGTCTTAAAATGAAACACATACTGCTATGTATCCGTTATATTACTGCGAAAAATGTGTATCGTAAAATACAAGCAAGAAGTCTGCTTTTTTTCACTATTCGGGTCGTGATGGGAAGACATGCGCACACTGCTGATATCATGGCAGCGCCGGGGGCAACTGCCGCACATTAGAATTCATGTACATTACAATTGGTATGTTACAATATACACTACAAAAATGATAGAAAGCGGTTTATTTGTGTTTAAATTGTCTTTCGAATGGAAAAAGTGGAGATATTACAAGCCACTGAGAGAAATCTTAAACCGTTTGGACTGACATAAAGTTCGTTCTTTGACTGTGCAGTTCTTTATTTCGATTATTTTCAATTTGCTTTTGTACCATTTTATACACAGCGATTTTTGTGCCAATGTCGATAAGTGAAATTTTAAAACCGTGCTTTTTGTTGGACCATGGTTTGTCATTAGAGGAACGATTCATTGAGAAAAGGAATATCTGCACCCAAACCTTCAGTTACTTGAGAAACACAGGTTGGCAGGTAATCGGATTTGAAAATCTTTCCATTTAGCATACCTTTAGTAGTCAACTTGGATTTGGATTGTTCTCCAATACTTATTAGTGATTCACTGAAAACTGAGATAATTTTCTGGTCAGACTACTCCAAAGCAGACTTCACAGTGATTGAGTAAATAGTTCGGGATTGATTGTCGAGCATAGATCTCGATCAGGAATACTATTGTTGGCTCGTCTTCAATCTGAATAAGGCGCTGCTCATTGCAAAAGCAGATAGTAAAAAACGTTTGGAGAAAATAATTCGAACTGGAATAAGTATCAAGAAAACGCACCTATTGTGTAGGAAAGCAGGAAGCTTCTTCGTGGCAGCATTCTTTTTCGTGACGAAACGTGTGTCTCCAGGAAAAATAGACCAAGCCGCACTTTAGAATTTATTCGATTTATTTTGAGTTTCAGTTGTCTATTATATGAATCACAAACTAAAAACAGGTGTGTCGTCATATTACTCCAAATATGGTTGGAACCAAATTTATAATATATTTCCTAAAACTTCTCAAATATTTTTTTGAAAGAAATGTTTACAAATAATTCAATGAAATTGTGTTAGCAAATAATGATAATGAAATAAAAAGATATAAAAATCATTGAATGAAACTATTGTTTGATACAAACACGAATCTTATAAAAAATCAGAAGAGAATACTGTTTTATAGTGAAAAATACAATATAATACTTTTCATATTGAAATAAATGAATTATCCTGAGCAACTGTTCTACATTTGCTTCTCTCCATCTCAATATGAATAATATGTAATACTTTTACAATGTATTTCTATCCAAAATAGAAATTTTACAATTGTTTCAAACTCAAAATAGGCCACAAAAATATCTTACTCCTCCAGAAAAATAACTATCATTCAATTGAAAAAACAGTATCTTGGTCCTTTGAAGATTTCCAGAAGTTTGATAATTTCAAAAGTCGAGAATATAAACCCTTTTTTCGTTGAAATAATAAATATAATAGAGTTAGACCATTCCCAATATATAAATCTAGTTTTGTTACTGACCATCAATATGTTATGAATATGCATGAAATGAAGTTCTGGAGAAAAATCTTTTTATTGTTGAATTTCGTATTTTGCAATTTTTTGTATTAGTATGCCAATCATTTTCAGAAGCACCTCACTTACATGAAAACTCGGTGTAAAACCAAAAAAAGTTTTTCAAACAATAATTTCGAAGTAAACACTATTTTGATAAACACATAAAAGTTATATCACCCTCATTCAGCTCTGTATTTTTCGTCTTCTAGAAGCCAATTACGATAACTCAACAACTTTTCGTTCCAATATAGAATCAAACTACTCAAGCTCTCTCCATTGCCGCCATATTCCACAGGTAAGATTGTCTTATCGAAAACTTTATGAAAACTCTCCAGACCTTTGTGCACTCTCACTTTTCTCTTCATCTCTTCGGACATGCAACTCTTGAAAAGATTTATCATCACATTCAAATAAAACGGAGCGTTCACGAATTCAAACTGATCCGGAGGCAGAAGATAATTTGTCCACCCGAACACCGATCTCTTGACAACACTGGGTGTCAGCGGCTTGGCATGCCAAACTGTTACACCTTTCATGTCGAATATCGCTATAATACCATCGATCGTGCTGCAGTCATATTCCAAAAAAGTAATGATATCAGTCAACATCTGGCCGGTTCTGAATACATTGTCTTGCGTATGCTTTTTTGGATCGTGAGCACCAGTTCGTATGATGACCACCAAATGATTTTGATACAACTCTCTCAGAGGTACGAACACCCCCAACTTCACTAGTTCCTGTATTTCATCCAAACTGGGATCCCGTTTTCGGTACCAAACTACTTCGTCCTTTTTCATAGTGTAATAGTTGATCATTTTGGTTTTAGTCTTTTCCAAGTCAAAGTGGCACCCTCGCAAGAAAGTCAATAAATATTTGTCTTCCAAACGTGCATGCAGGTTTTGTTTTTCTTCCCGCAGCCATCTTTTGATTTCTTCTAATGCCACTGCCTCAGTACTAGGTCCATTCAAGTTGTCATCTTCTCCTGAAAAAAACACAACTTTTTGAGACATATTGACGATTTAACGATCATAAACGTTAGATATATAGCAGAGTTGATGAAAGGTCGACTAAATAGCGTAAACAAGATAGAATGAGGACATGAGTTAACTAACACACTGTCGTGAAATCAAAACATTTGTGATCCGACTGAATAAATATTAAAATATCCATGAACAATATTTTTTCACATCGGATAGCAAAGCTATTAGGCATGGGCAGTTAACTTAGTAGTTTGGGTTCTCACAAATTCATATTGGAAACAACAACACTTTTATATACAAGGTGTAATTCATAAAACAATCAAATAACTGTATTCACGTTCGACAGAGAGTACCTACCACTAGCAATTTTTTGTCAATTTGGTTGAAAAATGACTTCTTCATTCAAGAATAGTTTTTGAATCAGCTTACGTTTTTGCTGTGAGGCCAAGTGTGAACAGTTACAACAAACAAAATAAACATGAGAAAATAATATTATTCAGGCTCACATTCATATTCAGCTACAGATTTCAGTATTTTAGTTATTAATCATAATTTCCCCCACCGAAAAAAACCCAAAAATCAACATTTGATACATCGATATGATCAGTTCATAAAGTCATATTTGAGCAAACGATAATTTATTCGTTTGCTCATAGAAAAAATACTTGTAGCCCATTACATAAAAAAGTTAATTTAAAAAAAATTGTTATTGGAATTATTTGTATTTTTCATAGAAGGGATGCGTTGGACGCTCTTTGATCTCAATTGAATTGGTATCGTCCCAAATTCGACAATTTTGTTTGTTCACGTACCCACCGACTGCCTTGGATTCTCCTGGCAAATGTAAAGTGTTGTAGTGCTTATCTTTTATATCTTTGGAAAGAAAGTTTCTGGCTTTCTACTACTTGTGACGTGTAGATCATGCAAAGAAGTAACTTTCACACAAACTTAAAGAAAAAGCCCTTCTGAAACAGCAACTTTCATATAAACATTAAATTATATGAACATTGAATTATACAAAAATTAAGAGGTTCCAAACCAAGTTACTTCACGACCTTTTGATTGTTTGTATCCACAATCGTCTACGAGTGATAACTGGACTTATTCGGTGGAAGTCATCTTGAGTTTAGACAGGTTGGAGCCTGGCTCCCTTATCCTTTAGACTTGGACTTATTCCTTCGAGATCTAACTATTCATAGGTCATTCGACTGCTTTCACCTATACCCCTCTTCCCTCTCTCCGGTTTATTGGTTTTAGCGGTAGCTGACTGTTTGGCGGAAGATGATCGTGTTTCGCTTGATTAGGAGTTTCCATATATTATGTATTTCTACGCTAGCTTGGCTAAATGCGATGTTGGATAACATATATGCGGCTTCTTTGAATTTTATCCGAAACCAGTGTTCCTCCTTGTGGATGATTTCAGCCTGAGCCCACTTGATGTTATGTTGATGAGTCCAAGCATGCTCTGCTATTCCGGATTTGCTGGTTTCTCCTCGCTGTGTGTGTTTTTTGTGCTCGACAATGCGAACTTTCAATGGTCTCTTAGTTTCACCAATGTATGATTCTCCACACTCGCAGGTTATTCGGTAAATGCAATTCTTGGAATCGCAGTCCGCGTTTGTTGGTCTGGTTTTCGTGAGACTGCTACGGATAGTGTTCCCAGATCTGATACAGGTTCTGATGTTATACTTGGACCCAATCCTTCTTATCCTTTCCGACAATTATCTGATGTAGGAAAGTACAAGTACTGGTTGTAGAGCTCTTACTCTTCTGGCTAAAACCTGTTCCACCATCAGTTTGGAATAACCATTCCTTTGTATTGCAGAGCCCGAAAGCACGGTCTAGTAGAGTCTTGATGATTCCTCTCTTAGTCGATTGATGGTGGTTGGGTTCCTGGTTTAGGTACTGTCCCGTGTAAGTGGGTTTTCGATATGCAGATGTTTCCCATTTGGTGTCGATCCCATTCACCGATACGTCTAAGAATGGCAATTCGTTGTGGACTTCCTTCTCCATTATTAAAGTGATGGAAGGAATTACGTTGTTGATGTGCTTCAGGAAAGTGTCTGGTTCTGCATTCCCATGGTTCCATTTTATGAAGGTGTCATCCACGTATCTCAACTAGTCTCGGGGCTTCTTGTGGGCTTATTCAATGGCCATAGTTTGATACCACTCTATATATATACAGGGTGTTCCATCTCAGACGAGCCACCCCGTATATTTGTTATCCCATAGTGAGTGGAGAAATTTCTCGAAACACTTCGAATAATTTTGTTTGGGGGACATCTTTTGACGTATATTTTAGGCTTGAACGAGCAACCCCCTAATAAGGGGCTCTTCAACCCCTCACACTTGAATAGGGGAGAGGGTTTGAGTGATACTTCATTTGAAAGGTCTTGGAAGCCTCTTTACAACAGTGTATGAAAAACCTAAATTTGATGAACCGTTTTCTCCAAAAATCAATTTTGCAGCTCGAGTGAGCCACCTTGAATAATTTGGTTAGTTTTACACATTCTTGAAAAAATCGAATTGTTTCATCATCATGCTTACAATAAAAAAACAAATCTGCGTGTTTGAATCAAATGCTCAAATTGTCCTCCATTGACTTCCATACAATAATACAATCTTGATTGAGAACCGTCTCTGACATGGTTCAGCATAATTGGAGTTATTTGACGACACTCATTCACAATTCTTTGGCTTAGTTCGTCCAAATTTTCAGGGTGAGTCACAAAAATCTTGGCCTTGAGATGTTGTTGGGAAGAAGTCCAGAGGGTTCAGGTCAGGAGATCGGGCAGGCCACTCCATAGAACATCTTCTTCCAATCCAACAACCGGGGTATTGTAAATTGAGGTATTGGCGAACTGGTGCGGCGTAGTGCGGAGGAGCTCCGTGTTGTTGAAAATGCAATTGTTGTTCAAGTAGTAGACGATTGTTCAGTTATTAACCGATCAATCGCATTTTCCAGCATTTCAAGATAACGTTCGCCAGTTAAATTACCAGGAATAAACAGAGGTCCAATTAGGTGGTCTCTCAAAATTCCTACCCACACGTTTAACTTTTCTGGATATTGAGTGTGAGCTTCTCGAAATACATGAGGATTTGTATCGCTCCAAATTCTACAGTTATGCCGGTTAACCTCTCCATTGAGTAAAAAAGTGCATTCGTCAGAAAAGCAAACGTTGTACAAGAAATTTGGGTTATTGTTGATACGCTCGCAAAACTTTTGCCTTCGATCCCAATCATCATCATTTAATTCATGAATTAATTTAATTTTGTATGGATGGAACTTGTGTCTATGTAAAATTCTGAAAACGTTAGATTGACTAATACCGGAAACTGCAGAAAGTTGTCGTACAGATTGCGTGTTTGGCATAAGTCCATTACTGAACCCGTCCCCACAAATTTCGAAATCAATTCCAGAACGTACTTATGGCGAACGCTACGTTCAGGATGGTTTTGGTTAAATATCCTTGCAGCCGCTCGGGCACAATTTTGTTTTTGGTAATAAAGGCTAACCAGCTCAACACGTTCTTGCAATGTGCACACCATATTTTTTGAAATTTTAAACAAATCAGCAGAGTAGTAATTCAACAGATTGATTTCAATTCTGAAATGATCGAAGAAACGTTACGACCAGATAATCACCTTCCAAGCAAAAACAAATTAAGGCAAGATAAGGAAATGTTTTGCTGTTTTTTTATTTATTAGTTTAAAAGAAGGTATTATTGTATGGAAGTCAAAGGTGGACAATTTGAACATTGGATTTAAACACGCAGTTGACAACTGATCAAGTGTCAAAGTTCGGAAGTCTCTGTTGGAAGACCCGTTACATAATCTGCAATTAACAACATCCGAGATCTATTTTAGGAACAACGGAAACAACAATATACCCGAGAGGCCATCATATGATCACATTCCATTTCTTTAAAACATTTCTAAATCTTCATATTCCAGACTCATCATTACGACAATTTCTATGTGATGGAATTGGTCGATACTGGATGAAAATCCATACGGTTTCCTTTATTGACTTGTTTCATGAGTTTTATGTTCTCTGGTGGCATAAAGTTATGTTTGTTTTGTATGGCGTGTGTTACGAGGTTTGATTTATATATTATTGAGTTTATGTATGCCTTTTTGTGCTCGTCGTTCCTTTGGATCAGTTTTTTCTTGGTTTGGCCGATATAGAATTTCTTGCAGTACGAGCATTGTATGCTGTACACTCCGTTTAGGTTTTGTCTTCTTCTTTTTTATTTATAGCTGTTTATTTTTTGGATTATTTTCATGTTTGGATTGTATGTGATGTTCAACTACCTGGACATAACTATCGGATATAACCACAATAAAACACAATTCCAAATGGCAATATACAGGAAACCTACACAAACAAGCTCCACCATACCCGCAAGTTCAAACCACCCACCGTCACACAAAATGGCTGCCTATAACGCATTCATATAGAGTATGTTAAGGATACCATTTAGCAATGAAGCCCGGAACAAGGAAAGGAATATCATATACCAAACAGGGAACGAGAACGGATACACCCAAAAGACAATAGATAAATTAGAAAACAGAATCAAACAAAAAATACAGAACAAGGATCAAACTACTCCAACAGATAAAACAACACAAGATGGACTGCATTCACATACGTAGGTCACCAAACCAAAAAACTAACAAACATCTTCAAACCCCTGAACATCAACATCACATAGGTACAAGCCAAACACGAAAATAACACAAAAAATAAACAGCCATTTTGTGTGACAGTGGGTGGTTTGAACTTGCGGGTATGGTGGAGCTTGTTTGTGTAGGTTTCCTGTATATTGCCATTTGGAATTGTGTTTTATTGTGGTTATATCCGATAGTTATATCCAGGTAGTTGAACATCACATACAATCCAAACACGAAAATAATCCAAAAAATAAACAGCTATGAAAAAGAAGAAGACAAAAACCTAGACGGAGTGTTCAGCATACAATGCTCGGGCTGCAACAAATTCTATATCACCAAACCAAGAAAAAACTGATCCAAAGGTACGACGAGCACAAAAAGGCATACATAAACCCAATAATATATAAATCAAACCTCGCAACACACGCCATACAAAACAAACAACTTTCCTCCACCAAAGAACATAAAACTCATAAAACAAGTCAATAAAGGAAACTGTATGGACATCTGGGAAAACTTAGACATCCATAAATTCAAAAGTCATAATTCACTTATCACAAATACAAATCAAAACACAACAAGACCTAACATTCTATATACTACACAATACATTACACATTAAACAGTGAACCTAGAGAAAATCCAACACAAAGGATATTACCCAAATACAGCGAAATTTACCTGCAGTACCTGCACTAAGACATTCTAACCCTAATAAAAGAACAAACAAGAGGATGAAACGTTCAGTTTGAGTAGAGCCAAGAAGATGATAGCACGACCAGCTGTCGAAAGCGCTCGCATATAATAAATATCATCACTTTTTTAGATAATATTGAAAATATTTTTGTTTGGATCATTTCAAAATGATTTTTCTTGATAAAAAATGTTGAATTTTTTTTTTCCGGAATCATAAAGTTTTGATCCTAGTTAAATATGTTTTTTCGTTAGCAACTACGTGTTTCAAAGCTCTATCTGAGAACAAAATAATTTTTTAAATGGTTTCAAGCAAAAATTAAATAAGGGTGATCTGAGTTGAAGTCCGACACATTGTATTGTATGTTTTGCACTTCTTCACTTCTTTCACACTACACTTCAAAAACTTCCTTTTTTGACAAAAAGGCAAATATGGAAATTGACCGAACCTAACCCGATTATCAACAAATAGGTATTTACCGACTATTGAAATCGACACAAGCATTCTTATATTACCTGAAGATGAAAGTGACTCCATAACAAGAGAACTAAACTGTGAAGCAAACAATCTAAAAACTCGTAACGTACTTATCTATCTATTAGCAAGTAAAGATAAAACATGTCGAAACGATATAATTCTAAGTGGCCTTCAATATAAACGTAGAGATTTGCACTTTCATTGAAATGCAACATTTTAAAACCCTTGAATACAAATGTAAGTTGTCAGTAGCGTAACTATCAGGAAACATGAAGCGTTTGGGCATTACAAGGCATGATTTTTTCGTTCTCGCTATCATAGAAGATAAGATCTGAATATGGACTGGGTACTTTATATGGGCCACACCCTAAAATTGTCTAAACTGCAGCTATCATACATCTCCGCATAGTTCAAACTGACTTGGATAACTATCTGAACATTTTGCTCACAATTGAAGGCAACGGTTTGGCCAGAATAAGTGTGACAAGTAATGGCTGCTGATTTTGCAATTTTGTTCTGAGTTGTTCAAAGTGGATGTTATACAGGTACTTCTTTAATTTATTTCATTCAATTTACATAGTGTGTAGAAAGAACAATGATGATTAACACGCAGTTTCATTTTGCACGCTGATGATGATTTTGAATTATTTTTTCTGCAAATGATGGTTTGTTTGAAATATGGAACGTGGTACATATTAGGACCCTTCGAATAAATTTATCTATAATAATGTTTGTATGTGAAAATGCCAATAATAAATGAACAGAAATATATTTCGAAACATGCAAGTGAGCTGTGAGGAATTGAAACCATGTTTCTTGCCATGAATGCTGTTATAGAAATGACATGACTTGTAGTTAAGGCAACCAAAATATCCAAAGTACCGAGACCTAAGATGCAAAAATCAGTGAGCTAGAACAAAAACTACCTGATTATATTATTAACATGGAAGCTAAATTTTATGGACTGACTAGGAGACACATCAACATGCATACATATTAGCAGTTAGTAACAGAATTAAACATGAATTCAAAGATAGAGATGCAGTAAAAGCTGGATTGATGATTATTTACGCAGATATAAACAATTTATGTCAGTCAAATAACCGACTGGAGCGTCTTTTGTAAGGACGCTTAACTTAAACAATAACAATACTACTCTTTTCTACAACAACCTTGAAAAACAATATGATAGCCACAATTTGCCAGCATTTAGAATATTTAACGTCGACAAAACAGGCACATCTATTCTCCAAAGCAAAATTCTTCAAATTATTGGTAGAAAAAGCAAAAGGCAAATTGCAGCCATCACATCTACTGAAAGCGAGTCACTAGTGGTTTCGACAATTCGTTAACTTCGTAATACCAACTTCATAAAACATATTCTTACTAATATTAGATGTCATTACAGCCATACTAGAAATATAGATATCAATAATTTAGCGAGAGAAAACCACGTGTCTATCTTTTCGGTACCAGCGCATGGAAATAGCTTTCATGGGATCATTCGAAGCATACTATAGTGGAGAAATTCATCAATGGATGAGAATAAATGAGTGCGCTGTTACGGTTTTTGATTCAGCTGAACTTCTGGGCAAAGCATGTTTCAATTCACAAACTGCTGAAGTTGCCGTAAATGGATTCAGGCATATTTTTGCAGAAGTTGATTAATTATCCAAAAAAAAGCATCTAAAGGAACATTTCGTTCAGGCCAGTCGCAACTCCCTACACTGTCGGTTAATGGACTGACACCTACCAGAAAAGAACTACTTCCCTGGCTAATACCACGAAGGGCGTTGGATCATATTCGACAGGCGTCAGTGCAGGATTCTTCACTGAAGTTATTCCTGCATATGCTGTTGGCGATACAACTGCCGCAATAGATTTTCAATTATTGGAACACACTAGCAGACCGATTTCGGGCTGTTTGGCCACTTGTCAGTGTGAGGTAGTGTCTATCATCAACATAAAGTCGATGATTTCCGATAATTTAAAATCGAATGCCTTCAAAGCATTATTCCTCGAACTAAGCTGAAACGGACAACAACAGCCGCATATCCGAAATTTACCCAATTACTCGTATAAGGAAAGAAAACTTTTCATATATAGTCAGAGGGCATATTTGAAGACTGGCTATAAATCAAATCATCTAAAGGAACAATTCGTTCCATTAACCTACAGTATAGTAATAGGGGAGCCCAAGCGGGGATTTTGGGATTTACTAAAGCGCGGCAGATTAATATACAGGTTAAGTACCTCCACCGAATATGATCCCCATATATAAGGCCGCATGTGAGGGATGAAGGATCAGATTAGTAAAAAAAAATGATCATCAGAAATTCTCGAGCGCGTCAGATTGAGGTAGGGTGAGTTAAATACCTGCTAAAAAGTCTATATTCCACTAATCTGACAATTTGAGAGTGACGTAAAGAAAGGGGAGGGCAGCAAAGTTGTAAAAAAATAACGTCATTTCGACATTCTATTTTTTTCATGATAATCTCTTTGATGTCTTTTGCGGTGGTGACTCGCAATCTTCAGTAAGTTTTTCAATTTCTCTTCCTTCTACTTCTTTCTATTGTATTCCGGTTGCAATTTCTTCGTCTTGTACATCCTCCAGTAATGTTTCGACGTACTCTTCAACCAAAAATGGATTTCCAGTTGAACTACATCCATCATCATTGTCTTCAAATGGACTCGTAGGAAGATAATTATGGTTGAAATCGTCACTATTATTTGATAAAAGGATTTTGTGACCCAGACTCCCAGACTATTTATGCTTTTAGGGATAACTTCAATGAAAATCAATAGAATTGGGGGATATATCTTTTTATTCGAAATACCTAACTCTATAGAACACTTGATTTCACACGTTATTGTATGAACATTACATATTTCAAATGAGGAGTGACATAACTTATTCAATTGGAATTTCAAGGGGATTAGGAGATTTATTGAAAATGAAGTATTATTAACCAGTTTTTGCGACAGTTCATATGAAATTCAATTGTTTCTTTTACATTCATTATCATCTCAAGGTTCTCTTCGAAAATAATCATTTCAAATACAGATAATTGGCTTTATTATGTGATTGTTTTCGAAAACAAACATTTTTCCAAGAAAAAAACGGCAGTAGCTAGTAACTCGTAACCTAGAGTTACAAAGTGAATGTATATTGAAGAGTAATCAATTGACTAATCATAATATTACCTTTGGTTTAATCAGTGATGCTATCAATTCTGTCTTTTATAAAATAGTTCGTATTTTATTTTCCATTATGCAATAAACGAACATTCTCATAAAAAACGACAACCAAATGTTTGAATAATAGAAATCTAGGAAATTTTTCTATTTAAAATCATCCGCATCAACCTGATGGTTATTAGCGGCGGAGTGTATTTATTACAAATCATTAGGTAGTATTTACAATTTTATAATAAGGTTGAGAGCAGTTAAAAAGCAAATAAATATGTTTCACTTGATGTCGTCCTAGAGCTTCTTTCAAATCTTGAGGTATATTGTAATTGTCTCTTTCTATTTGGACATTCCTTTATGATGTAATATTCATTACTAGGGACAAAACTTCATGATATTTTCATATTAAGAAATACTAAGATGGAAGCTCTAGAATGTTGGACGAATTTCCTTATTTTTGATTTGATTACAATCAAAATTGGTAAATAGGAGCTTCTGGGTTGTGATGCCATGCTTTTTTTGACATTTCAGAATTTCACCTGACTCAAAAATCTATTTTAAATTGTGGGAATTGTTGGAGATCATGACTTTTTTGTCGATATGTTCTAAATTGGTTTCCAATAAAACGGTCTTTTCGGCGGCGCCTTTGATATCGCTGTGAAGTGAAAACGTTACAGTGAATTTTCCATCGAGATCTATGTTTGTTCCTTTGACGGCATTTATATAGAGAATCATAATAATTAGAATTCATTCACTTCAGTTGAGATTTGTATCCACTATTATCACATTGTATTGGCAAAATAGCCAGAGTGAGTTCCTGCGAAGTGTGCATTGTTCAATTATTTCCGTTCGTTGTATTCGTTTGAAAATGTCCTTGTAAATTATGATTTTATACTTTATCGGAAGTTACCTTTTCATTTAGCCGACCGTGAATTATCTTCAGTTATGTTTTCAATAGTGTTTGGTGTTCGATTGGTGACCTATGTATTTTGTAGAAATCCAGCTTTCATTTATTCTATTTTCAAAAGTGTTTCTTGCGATTTAAATTTTTCTGACAAAAAAGTGTAGGGACTTTTCCTACAACTGCTTAAATTTCTTTATTGTCAAGCAGTCATCCAAATCTAACACTGTAATGGAACACTCGAAAATCGAGTGGTCGAATTCTCGAAATGTGTGTTGGCTGAACTGAATTTCCGTTTCGCTACCTGGGTATAAATCTAGAGACAAGAGTCTTTTCTGGTGTAATTTGTCGAACGAATAACATCGATTCTGTTCACTGAGAGTAAGTCCTTCCAAGCCACGTGGCCCCTCATATTTTTCTTGTTATTTTGTCGTAGTGTTTTTGTAAATGTAATTTGTGTTAATAAATGTTATCGTTGAATACGTCTTAACAATAATTTATCTATCACAGCCCCGACAAAAGTGTTTTTAATCGCGATGCCCAAGTCTACGATACCCTTATCTAGACGTCATAAACGAACTCGACGATCGTTAGCGGTGAAGCGTCAGTTAAAAAATCTTCATGAATCGTAGGTATCTTGCTGAAGTTATTTTGCATGGATATAATCGTTTATTTATTATAATTAGGAGAAATAGTGATCAGAATCGCATTGCAGAGGAGATTCATCAGCCCGAAGGGGCACTCGAAGGGTGAGGTATGGTAAATGTGTGTGTATGTTCAGTAACAGAATATATAATTGATTCCGTTCAGATAATTTTTTTAATATATCTAATTATTTCGCACATTCTGCAACAAAAAGAGTACAGAAGTCAACTTGATACCGACAATTGAAGATTTTTTCTCGAGATCAAAAAAATATTGGAGCCACTGGTCAGCAAAGCAAATCAACTGTCATACAATCAGACTACAAATCAAGCAGAAAGGTATATATATATTCAATTTTATATCGTCCAATAACATGGTATTTGATTTTTAGATATATGTGTTTGGTGGCCAAGTTCTCTGGTGGTAAAAGGGTAACTATACAAAAAATGTTTTGTTTTCTGCCAGAGCTCACGGGCTGCATTATCTCATTTAGCAGGGCCAAGTTGGCATACCAAAATTTGAAAAACAGCAATGAAAAAAAATCCTGGAAGTATTATGCAAAGAGTGTTTTTGAAGCGACAGAAGAAGTTATTGGCACAGAGGAGTATTGCTCATTTGAATCATATCTTCTAATTTTTATAATTTCAATAATTATTCTAGGTTGAAGAAAAACCACAATTATTTTTATCAAATCCAAGGACAACTGAATATAACCAAAAGAAAATATTGCGATTTTGTTATATATACCAAAAATGATTTCAGCATAGAAGTACACGGAGACATTTGTGTCTGGGAAACAAAAATGCTTCCAAAGCTGATGAAATCATTTTACATGGATTGTATTTTACCTGAAATTTTGGATGGGCGTCTTCCTAGAGGAATGAGAATCAGAGATGCTTCTGATAACATTGAGGCCAGATAAAAAATGCAAAAAATAACATTCTTTGAATATTGAGGTATATTAAAATAGAACATGTAGCTAATACATTGTTGGATTTCATTTATTTTCAACAATTGCATACACATCAGCGGAATTGAATTATTCACGATTGGTATTGACTTATATTGTCTAACCCTTTATATGGAATCAGACATATTATTTAAACTGTGGACCTTTCCTGCAAAATATTATATTCAAATCATTCAATTTTAAAAATATATCTGGCAGTATGAATTAATTTTGAGGAAAAATATGAGTAATTTACCCCGGAGAGCCCTAGATGAATTATTTTTGAGGATCCGACTATGAATCATAAAATCTTTCCGTCATTTCGAACTAATGCTGAAAATTGATATTGTGAAAGGACCCTTACTTGAAAGACAAAATCTGATACTTGATTTTTCAATTTTTTATTCATAAGTATCATCTGATTTTCTGAACACCCTGCTCATGTATTCGAAAAAATAAATTTTGAAGAAAACACGACTATAAATCACAAAATAACCCATAGCCATCTTTATGCTGCTATTTTGAATTCTTGAAATTTGATGAAAAACTCATTATCTACAACCTCAAAATACCAGTGTTATATATAATTTGACAATTAATAACAAAAGTCGCATCTCGAATTTCTGAATTCCAACAGAAAAATAACCATCTTCGAACCTTAAAGCCAGTCTTCCATAGAGCCCGACCAGATATCACAAAACTAGTCAGCCCTCTTGAATTTCCGAAATTCAATAGAAAAAAATCACGCCTAGAGACTACAAAATACCAATTTTAAATCGAATCGGTCCATAATCACAATACTCGTCAGACATCTTGAAGCCGCCATCTTGAATTCATTAATTTTAACTAAAGATTCATAATGTGCGACCCCGAAAACCCCATTGTACCAAATATGAATCGGATAACACAACTTGTCCGTCACCTTGAATTCATTAATTTTGACAATACATTTATACTCTACAAGCCCAAAAAAATCCACATACTAATTTCAAATCGATTCGGACCATAATCACATATCTCGTTCGATATCTTGGAACCGTCATCTTGAATTCGTTAAGTTTGACAAAAGATTCATAATCTCTGACCCCGAAAACTTCCTTATAGCAAGTCAAATCGGTCACTAATCACAAATCTCGTCCGCATCTTGAATTTATCAATTTTGATAAAAGATTCATAATTTTCAAATAATCTGCAATTTTCGTGCAAACTTTGAGATCAACACGAAAACGAACATGTTTTAATCTAAAATGTAATTTGGATGAACAAACACGTCGGCGAATAGAGTTTGGCCCTGGAATGCCCCGGCCTGGTCAAGTTAGAATTAGGGAGGAGTTTGTATTTATTTCATCGGGCGAAATCGCACTGCCATCTGGCGGTATACGTTTTCGTAACTAAAGGCTAAAGACACTTAAGTGGTGAATATTATTTTCATGAAAATGGGTTTCCTGTAGGCAGATAATACCTGGGAAATGTTCTGCTAGCAATATTTGAAGCATACTCAAATGGACATGATTATCCATTGAAGTTTCATTGTATTGAATATTATTGGAAGAAAACGTTTTTAAAATAGCTGATCTGAGGAGTCACTTTGTGTCTCGTACTTTTCGGATTCGACTTGCCTCTGTAATTTTTTCCTCAATTTCGTGCACCTCCCTTTCAAGTGTCTTGTCTTCAATACTTGGATGGATATCAAGTAACATGTCTATCTGTCCTTGGATGTCATCTGTATAGTCCTTTGCTATACTCAATACATCTTTCGATCCATGTGTGTTCTCGAACAGGTCCTTCAGTTGTTCTGAATTTATTACAAACTCTCTTTGTTACTAGTCAATCTAATCTTTGATAGGTTGAATAAGTACTTGACTTATATTGGTTTCATGTTTTGATTTCTTAGTATTGCCTGTATTCTTGGGTGTTAGGAATTCTTGATCTTCTGACGGAGTCAAGATTTCTGAAAGGTTCCTCTTTTCGGTATTCTTACTATTCTGCTCTGTAGAATTGTCTACATTTTCGTTCGTTTGTTGACTTGTAGATGCTTGATTTGGTATTTCCTCTGAATATTTTCTAGTGTCCAATGGATGTGGTAGGAAGTTGTTTTGGGAAGGGGATGTAGCCTGGGTTGTGCATTTGGAGGCGATATGACCTATTTGTTTACATTTGAAACAGGTTTGGTTATCTCTGGATAGAAACACACGATATGTGACATCATCATGAAATATCTCAATTGATTCTGGAATATCCAGATTTTCCGGTGGTGTTATATAAACCTGCCTTTTAAAACTGAGTATATGGCTATATTCAGGATTTGTAGCTCCAATTCTCAGAAGGGTTACTTGTGATATAATTGTGAGTCCAATTTCTTTCAGTTTGGTGATGAGAACGTCGTGTGGTATGGTAGGGCTAATATTGGATATAACTAGTATTTCTGCTGGAGATATTAGTCTCCTAGCTTTAATAATTTCAACATTTTATAGAGCCATAGTCGTTAGAAATTTGTCTACAATTTGCTTGTTGGACAGGTATATACAAATTCAGTTATTAGAAATTCTGGACGAGAAAAGTATGTTTCTAGGTTGAACTAATGAACCGAGTTGTAGAAGATAATCTTGTAATTTTGCATTCTCGATAGCGGTGACAATTGCTTGATCTTTTGTAGGGAACTTGATGGGTAAAGAATGACTTAATGCTGAAGAATATGATCGACTGGAAAGGTTTTGACTTGCTTGAACGGTAGGGTTACTTGTGGTTTGGGGTTCTTGCATTATTTCGCTCAATATTTCTTCATTCATCGTTTTCAGCCGTTCGATTTAACCATAATTCCAATAATTATCCCAAGTACGGGCCTGGTTCCAAAAAAGTAAGGCAGCTGGGTCACTTACTTTCCAAAACCTCCCGAAAAAAAGAACAACTTTATTGAAACGTATGGAGAAATTCACTGATATAAATAAATTCAAATATACAGATACGATAAGGTTTAGAAAAAGCAGTTAACACTTTTTAAAACAACACTGCGGACAGATCGACCGATCAGCACCAAATCTCAACTGTGAATAATCTAGGAAATTGTTCTTGAAGAATTTGACAAACATTTCAGGAAAATTCAATATTATGTTTATTACCGCTATCGTTCAAAACGTGTTCTCTTAAACAATATTCACAGAATATATAACAGATTTGGGAAAGAAAGATTTTGGCTTTCTACTTCTCCATCTATATATAAAACAATGTGGAAATCTTTCAAAAAAATATACAGTGTGTCTTACTTCTCATGGAAACACCTCCGTATCTTCCGTAATATTCGAGGTGGAACGATGAAACTCTCAGGACTGATGGAAATGCTCAAAATGCACCTACCATCTGAATGGGGTTGGCCAAAGTGATATACACTGTCCGCCACTCGCGATGGAACACCCCATTTTTACGGTAAAACATATTACGGCGCAAAATAGTTCGCTTCCAATACCTGAACCCCTTCATTCTATCTGGAGAGTACTCTCAGGTATGAAAGATACAGATACTGTGAGATGCTATCATCCATTTTGAGCCTATCTGAGGAAAATGTCACAGCACCACATTCTCAGATTATCGAGATAGTGTGAAGCAGTGTATGAAAAATTATCGATGGCGGCATCTATTATAACTGAAGAAGATTATTCGTAAAACTAATTCTGGTTGCTGAACATCCAAATTCTAACCCAACCAGAAGTTAGAGCTCTCAATTGATGAGCAAAAAATGGAAAAAATCTATATTCAAAGGTTAACATATCAAAAACTACAATTCTGAGCTTTGGCTGTGTACACTTTCAATCAGCACATCAAGAAACATCAAAATTTCGGCAAAATTCAAGGCAAGCCATTTCACATAAGAAATGTGCGGGGTCCTTCATCAAAATATTGAGGAAACATTTTACCATCCGAAACAAATTAATTTTCATACTCATTGCAACACCGAAACAACTGTTAATTTTTAAAGAAAAAATCGCACTCGGTGAACAGGTAGAATTTAGATTATTTTACCTACTTGCTGAATTGTTGTCTGAAATCATTTGAAGGGATTGAATTACATCAGTTTCATTGAATCATACGGTGCCCTGAAATCACCTGGAAAACAGTTGCTCACTGATATTTACTGTCAACCTGACAATATTGTTGAAAAATCTTATTGTATTAACCCCCAGACCAGTTTTCATTGTATTTGTTGTTTCTAGTATTGTTGTTCTTTGAATCACCGTTGTTCCTGTTGTTTCTTCCGTGGTTTTGTTCCTATTGTGTTTATTGTTCCTGTATTTGTGTTGGATATTGTTCCTGTGTTCCAGTTGTTTTCTGTTCGTGAGTACCTGTTCATATTTTAATATTTCTGAAATTCCCATTTTAACTGATATCAGCTCATTTTGATTGACAA